GGGGGGGGGGGCAATTTTGTGTATGGTTGTTTTCTCTTAAGACTATGTAAAAATGTCACATTCTTTAAATCTGCATGAAAGTCATATATGGATAGCATAGATATTTTTATGATATTCATTGCAGAAAATTTATAAAATGTAGAAAAACAAAAAGGAAAAAAGCACCTTACCATCTAGAGATCACAGCTGTGAACATTTTGGTGTTTTTCTTTTAGACATTTTTATGCATAATTATTGATTTCTGAGAACAGAAACCGAGAGAGAAAGCCCCATCACCCTCCAGATTCCCACATATTCCTCGCATGATGATATCTGGTAGTTTCTTCTATGGACCTTGCCCAATGCGGGTAACTAGACAGATGGGAAAAGGGCGCGCTGTGGGTTTTTTAAAAATGAGTAACGATTACTAATGTGATGTGCCTCTCTGCCCTCTTTTCTTTTCACATCCATCCTTTCTACCACATGAGTTTAATCTCTACATCTCGGGCTGGGGCTTTTGTCTCGCTGACATCTGTGTGTTGAGGGCAGGAGGATGTGAGTGCTCTCTTCAAGTGTGTGGCTCTGGAAGGAGAGAAAGCTTTTGCACTGAGAGCTGCTCCTCTGTTCCAGAAGCCCTAAGTTCTGTGGAGAGGATTTCCGCTGTCCATTGTCCAGGCCAGGACCAATCAGTATCCTCCACAGGGCTGAGCTTAGCAGGGTGGACTCCTTTACCGGCTGGCTCAGAGACAAAGGTGGCAGTGCTGACCCACTCTGCGGCACTGACAATTTTCTCTAATCCACAAATAGCATAAAGGATCTAAAGGATCATTTATGGAGATTGGTGGAGAAGGGTTCTTTTCTCTTGTTTCCCTCCCCATCTATGATGCCACAGTGATAGACAGTCCCCTTGTCATAAAACGTTCTCAGAGATTCAGAAACTTCAGAGGCTGAATCATTTCTCTAGGGATCTCTAGTCTCATCTATAAAATGGGGGGTGTTCAAAGTTCCTTCCAACTCACAGTTTTTTATAATATACAATTAGTCAAAATATATAAAAGAAGACAAAAAGTTGAGTTGGTTTCTTTTCAGCGGTTTTGCATTCATAGTACCAAATGTTTTATATAGTTGAGAAATATACAAATTAAAATGGCACTGTTTTATTTTATGTTTTTTTTTTTCTGTCAGATGTACCTGGATTTATACCTGGACTATCCGCAGGCATTGAATGGCAGTTTTATTTTCAATTATTTTATAATGAGCAGTGAAAGGTGAGTTCACCTGATAATCACTTTATTACTGACTTTCCCCATTACATGCCTGTGGTCAAGGAATAGGCAGAATGCTAGTCCTTTATATTCTCACTATTGTCAACACACAAATGCAAGAGAACCTAAAACCAAAACATATTTCAAAGATCAGATCTGTCTCCATCCCATGTCCTGGAGGGAAAAAGAAAAACCTAATGGTGTTCCAAGGCTTGGCTCTGATTTTAATTCATATGTGCATTATTCTACCTGCTAACTTTTGAAAGTATGTCTACCTAATAATTTAAAACATTGAAAAGAAAGGTGGGAGGAAGAGTCTGGTTTATAGCCCTAAAGCCAGAGGATATGCAAACAGTGTGTAAAGAGAGCATTTCTGTCTGTGCCAAGTCCTGTAAATAACTGAAAAATCACTGGAATTAACCACATCCAAAAACATAAAGCAATAATATTATTCTTACCTGGCTTTGGGCTGAGCTCTGACTCTGTTTTCTTCCCGTGCACTAGTGGTATCACCACATATGTGGGATCCATGTGCCATGTGTGTGCAAAAGCACATGGAGTCCTGCCCTGGTGCAGCTACTCTGACACCTAAGAATTAGAGTCAAGATCTAGAAAGCATTTAGCAAAAAGCACTCAATGAATGGTAGCAACTGCTAATACGAAATATGTATTCTGTTGAAGACAGAAAAAAAACCTCAAGAGTTTGCTGCCTGCAGCAGTGACTGGTGGGACCAGTTGCTAAATCAGCGTTGCTTTGAGTAGTGGAGTGTGGATGGATGAGCAGAGGAGTCCAAACACATATCCAATCTTATACCCCATATGTTATGAAGGAAGAGGAATACATGATTTGAGGAATACGGAAAACTTTGTTGACACAATGCCTTGCACTTACACGTTTGCACAGTGCTCAGTAACTATGTGCATTAGCAGTTAGGGTCCACAGGCAGAGAAAGCAAACATTTTCTTCACTATGAAGTTTTCAAAGAGGAGTGAATAGAGAGGCAAAGGAGAGGCAGTTAATCTGAGAGTGCTGACAGCTCCCATCCCCCGTCTGCATTGTACTGACCTGCTTCATCTCGTGGGTGAAGTACATGTATGCCACAGTCACACAGAAGCATTGCAGGAGAACTGTGGTGATCAGGATCAGCATATATCTCAGGCACAGACTGGACCTCTCTGGGACCTGTAGAGCAGTCATGGTCTGTCATGAGCAGCCTTCTGCAGTCAAAATGAGGGAACTGCCAGAAAAACAAGTGATAAGTTTCACTTTCTGTTTCTGTGTTCTCGGAAACAACCACTACCCTTGTCTGAAACAGAAAGAAGAAGCTCTTGCTACTGCGAGTGTCCTATGAAAATCTGTAAAGATCTTTTAAAAATGTCTGTTACATAAGGATTTTATTATAAGAGCTGTGATTTACAAAATATTTGTAAATAGGGGACAGATACATTGTATTCCTTCGGAGGTCTCACCTGGTAGCAGTTTGCCACCTTCATTCTGGGTCCTCAGTTGTCCTGATAACTATTAGATTTCAAGCCTAAATCAGCATTGCTTTGAGTAGTGGAGTGTGGATGGATGAGCAGAGGAGTCCAAACACATATCCAATCTTATACCCCGTATGTTATGAAGGAAGAGGAATACATGATTTGAGGAATACAGAAAACTTTCTGCCTCATTAAAATGGGGTTGAAATAGCAAAGAGAGTCCATAGATGTTCATTCTATTATATTGACATATATCTATAATATATTGATGTTTATTTGTTCTTCTGCCATTTTCTAGGGGTACAACCTTGTCCAAGATATTCACATTTTGTTGCTTTAGTTTTCATATTAACCAAGCAGTAGGATTTACTAAGAGGTCTTTAAGATCCCAAGCAGCCCGATCATTTTATGATTCTATCATCACCTGGTCATGCAGAGGTAATAAAAATTCCTTTCTTTACCTGAAGGCAGTGTGTCCAAGATGTCATCTGACAAGACATCAGTAGCTATTATTCCATCATTACCAGCTGTTAGCTAGCACTTTGGGTTGGGAATAAGGGTGAGACGTGGGTGGATGCAGTAGATTTCATGATTGTTTCCAATTTTCCATCTTCTCTCTGTTCATGTCCTTTGCCATATGCTTTGCAGTTCATCTCACTAGAAAGTGTGTTTCCCTGCTTCACTGATGGTGGACTTGGTCGTGTAACTTGACCACTGGGACATTAGTGGATCTATCACCAGAAGGCTTGAATTATAACTGTACAGTTGGTCTTGTCCTCTTGGCTGCCATCATTTTTATAAGAAGACAAGCTCTGGGTAGTCCAAGGAGGATGAGAGCTGCTTGGAGCTGAGCTAGATCCAATCTGTATTTTAGAGCCAGGGTCATCTGAACATAGCCTACATCAGCTGATTCTGGAACAGATGTGCAAGAATAAATAATTGTTTTAATCGACTGAATTGTTGGTTGGAGGGCATTACTGTGGTAATAGATAGCTGATAGAGCCTAGGATCGTTTAGGATGCTTTCAGCTGCAATTAACAGAGAACGCTTCTTAACAAAATTTCAATTGGGTCTTTAGTGTCCAGCAACTAACGCAAATTCAGACAAACCAAAACAGAAAAAGCAATTTATTCAAAGGATATTGGGTAGTTAGAATCTTGGTGGGGGTTGATGGAAACAGATTTGGAGCTAGCAAACACCAAGAACACTACCAAAATTTATCCATATAGTCATTCTGGTAACAATGTAACTGCTGTCACCATAGGCTACATAACCACAAGTGTCATCTACATCAAATGGAGAGATGTCGGATGCTATTACTAGAACCAGTGACACTACTGTTTCTGAAAACTGAACACAGTGGTCACTGGCCAAAACCCAAAGAACAGAAATGCTCTACCTCTGTTTCTACTTCATGACACTTTGTGATTCATCTTTAGATCCTGTTTCATGAGGTTTATGCATCTGCTTGGTGAGCCTAGATCATGCCCCATCCTGACTTCAATGGAGAATGGAAAGGTGAGTACCTGATATTTTCAGCTTCTCTGGTGAGAACTGGGCTGTTCATAAAGTATGAACTCCTAACATAGGAAAGAGGTTGCATGTTGGTCAGCCAACCAAAAGGTAAACGTCCACTTCAAACAACAAGGAAGTTATCAGCTCATATATCAGTACATCTAGACAAGATATTGGAATGGCATCCTTAGTGCTTGATCCTGGAACTTCACAGTGCCATCTCCTCAGGTTCTTTTCTTCTCAACACTCTTCCACAAGTTGGCTTTACCCTAAGGCTACTCCCTTCCAAGTTATTTCTGAGGTCTAAATGTTTATGTCCTCACCTCAATTCATAAGTTAAAATCCTAACCCCCATAGATGATGGTATTTGAAGGTAGGGTCGTTAGAAGGTGATTCATTCATGAAGGTGGAGCACTCATGATTAGTGCTCTAATAAAAGAGATCCCACAAAGTTCCTTAGCCCCTTCGACCATGTGAGGACACAGCGAGAAGGTGCCAGCTATGAACCAGGAAGAGGGCTTTCACCAAAATTCAAGTTAACAAAAGGAAGACAAACAATCCAATTAAAAAATGGGCAAAGGACCTAAATAGACATTTCTCCAAAGAGGACATATAGATGGCTAAGAGACATATGAAAAAATGCTAAACATCACTAATCATTAGAGAGATGCAAATTAAGACCACAATGAAGTATCATTCATACCTGTCAGAATGGCTGCCATCAACAAATCAATGAATTACAAGTGCTGGTGAGGGTGTGGAGAAAAGGGAACCCTAGTACACTGCTGGTAGAAATGCAGACTGGTGCAGCCACTATGGAAAACAGTATAGGGTTTCCTCAAAAAATTAAAAATTGACCTGCCATTTGACCCAGTGATTCTACATCTAGGAATATATCCTAAGAATACTGAAATACCAGTCACAAAGAACGTATGCACCCCTATGTTCATAGCAGCACAATTTATAATAGCTAAGATCTGGAAGCAGCCCAAGTGCCTATCAGTAGATGAGTGGATAAAAAAGCTGTGGCACATTTACACCATGGAATACTATGCAGCTGTGAAAAAGAAGGATCTTTTATCCTTTGGGACAGCATGGAGGGAACTAGAAAGTATTATGCTAAGTGAAATAAGCCAGTCAGAGAAAGACAAGTACCACATGACATCACTTATATGTGGAATATAATAAAAAAATAAACTGATGAACAAAGCGGATCCAGAGACACGGAAGCATGGACACAGACTGAGGAATCTCAGAGGGGAGGTGGGAATGGGGAAGTGGGCAGGGAGAGAATAATCAAAGAATTTATATGTTTATAAATATAATCCATGGAGGGCATTTATTTTTAAGAGAAAATAATGACTGCAAATATCTGAAGATACCACCAACTGACATTTCATACAGGACAGGAAGAGATGCCTCCAAAGTGAGAAAGATAATGGCATTGAGGGTTGTGGCTTGTGTGACCACAGTGCAAAATAACACAGCAGGGTTACTAGAGCACTCATTTGGTGAGTGTAGCTGCAAAAGGGACACAGTGTTTCCTTTTTTCTTTTTTTTTAAATTCATCTTTATTGTTGAAAGTATTATAGGTGTCCCATTTTTCCCCCCAATTGACCCCCTCCACTTCGCTTCCACCCCCTCCCCAGGCCTTTACCCCGTTATTGACTGTGTCCATGGGTTATGCATATATGCATATAACTTCTTTGGTTAATCTCTTCCCACCCTCCACCCTCCTTCCCTCTTTCCTCTGAAATATGATTATCTGTTGCATGTGTCAGTGTCTCTGGATCTATTTAGTTTGTCAGATTCTTTTGCTCATTAGCTTCTTCTTAAAGAAGACCCTTCATCATTTACTGTAGTGCTGGTTTGGTGGTGATGAACCCCTTTAGCTTTTTCTTATCTCTGAAGCTCTTTATCTGACCTTCAATTCTAAATGATAGCTTTGCTGGGTAGAGCAATCTTGGTTGTAGTTCCATGGTTCCATGTGTTTCATCACTTTGAATATTTCTTGCCACTCCCTTCTGGCCTGCAAGGTTTCTGTTGAGAAATCAGCTGACAGTCGTATGGGTGCTCCCTTGTAGGTAACTAATTGCTTTTTTCTTGCTGCTTTTAAGATTCTCTCTTTGTCTTTAACCTTTGGCATTTTAATTA